TTGTGGATGGATGTCCACCGAGTTTAACACTCGACAAAACCTCAGATCCAACCCAATGTGGCCCGTGTCGACTAGGGAACTTCAACCCAATCTTGAATGACTATTACCAATGGCTTCTACGCCGTTTTTGCATTTCATTCACGTGACGGAATGGCCAGCATTACATGATAGAGGTTTTGACTCGAACAATAACGAGGTGTGATTGGGCAATACAAAGTTATCCTAAATTGGTTAAGGGCTCCTCTGGATACCACGCCATAAAAATATGCCAAAACTCGAAATGAGATTTTACAAAATTTGTCCAATATACAAACGCAACACAAAAAGAAGAGATGGTGAAACCGTCTGGATACCAACATCACTCACGTTTCATCCGGATTCAAACTTGCGCGCCAAAACGATGGTCACGACCATGATGATCCTGCTTCGTCGGCGGCGCCTCAAGCGACGTCGCATGATGTTGATGTCATACCTGGTCTACCACTACTCCGCCTACCTCTTGAAGACGTCAAAGCGGGTCTCCATCTTGTCGGGGGCTTTGTGGGTTGCCGAAATAACGTTACTGCAAGGAAACAGGATGCCTTCGAGGAGACGTTTCGAATGTCCCGTGATGCGTATGGTGGACTGCTGCACGATCTCGTCCAACGTCCAAAGGTCCATCTGTGTGCTGTGGGGTTGCAGCGGTTTTCGAAATGCGCCGTTTTGACAGAACATTGATGTTGAAGTGGTCACATGGACGTCTGTCTTTACATGAGAAATTGACCATTTTGGTCCATTTTTTTATGCCATAATTCGTGAACTTTCTTGCTATAATTTTGTAATATTTCCTTTGGATTTTGTGGTATCCAGACGAAACAACTTCGCAACTTTGTCATTTCACCATTTTATAGAGATCTTCGTCATTTTATGCCATAATTCGTGGTATCAAGAGGAGCCCTAATTGGTTTTTTACGTTACCGTATTCCGTAATACGAGCTGACAGTGACGTATCGATATCCGAATGCGGATACATGGATGGGGACTTTGGTTTTCGAGTTAGACATACAATACTACATATACATGCAAGTCACCATTTTACAAAACAAATATAGTTTTTACAAGGGCATAAAATCATACAGGGTATAAAATACCTTGCTCGCTACTGATAACCAATCAGATAAGTTCAGATTTATTGATCTCATCACAATGATCTACTTACTCTGTCCGAAAATAGTTACCCCACACGGAATATTTTAGAAATGAACGTGAAGTTGGTCGAATTATTCCATTCTGAAAACAGATGCATGTTTACAGCACACCAATAGCATCGCTTCATACCAAACTACACCCAATCACAACAGATTAAGCCACACAAAGCCCCAATACTTAAACCTATACAACTTGGACGATTTGTCTCAAACGGAGGTATCCGGATGTCCGGTTACGATTACCGGATAAAACAAACGTTATCCGTATCAACCAGCGTGTCAAGGTTGGCAATCCAAATGCGCGCCAAGAAGGACCTCACGGACAACAATCGAACTACAATCCTGCATCAGCTTCTCGCGCGGAGGGTTGATCATAAGACATTGCCACGAGGTGCCTTAGCAGACGTCGCCGTCTCCTTTGGTGTTGACCGAAGCACGGTTCGCCGAATCTGGCTTTCGGCACCGAGCTGCAGTCGACCTGTCCGACAAGCTTCGCCCGTGCCAGCCTGTCTGCTCAAGGAGAAAGGTCGTTCTGGCAGGAACCTGAAGCACGACTCTGTTGCTGCCCGTCTCAAACTCGTGCCCAAGACTCGACGGTCCATCGCTGCCGCTATGTCCATGCCCAAGTCGACCCTGCAAGACTACTATCGGCGAGGAATTTTCGTGAAATACTCTAGTACGGTCAAGCCGACACTGACGGATTCCAACAAGGCCGTTCGACTCAAGTGGGCAGCCGACACTGACGGATTCCAACAAGGCCGTTCGACTCAAGTGGGCAATTGACCATGTTCACCCGATGGGACCGACCGACTACAACTTCGACAGAATGATGGACTGTGTCCATGTGGACGAAAAGTGGTTCTTCGTCACGCGAGTTCACAAGTCGTATTATCTTGCACCCGACGAAGTCCCTCCTCATCGCACGGTCAAGTCCAAAACGTTCATCACGAAGGTCATGTTTCTGTCAGCCGTTGCCCGACCACGTTGGGACCACGACAAAGGTGAGTGGTTCGACGGCCAGATCGGCACATGGGATTTACGGAGCGAGTTCCGGAGTTGCGTGGAAGCCGCAATAGACCGGCTGGAACCATGGTGACGAAGCCGGTCAGCGTGACTCGCGAAGTTACACGACCATGCTTCTCGACAAGGTCATCCCCGCTATCAAAGCGAAATTGGTCCCAAGGTGAGACCCAAGGGAGTGATAATCTAGCAGGACAACGCCAAGCCTCACGTTCCCCATCGGACCCTCGCATCGTTGCTGCGTGCACCGGCGGCGGGTGGGCCATGCAAGTGAGGTTCCAGCCACCCAACTCGCCAGACCTCAACGTGTTGGACCTGGGGTTCTTTCGAGCGTTGCAGACTCTTGAAGAACGGAACTATTCGCGCAACATTGACGACATCATTGCTGCAACCGATGAAGCGTGGCAGGATGTCGACATGATGACGTTGAACGCCAACTTTCTCACGTTGCAATGCTGCATGCAAGAGGTAATGTGCGTGGAAGGCGACAACGGTTACAAAATCCCGCATATGAAGAAGGCGAAACTGGCTGCTGTGGGTATGTTGTCCGAGGTTATTTGCGTTGATCGTGACCTGTTTGATGACGGGTGTCGACTACTCAGTGCTACTGATATCGACAAGAAGATCGACGAATTGGCACTTGAAGTGGCACAGGCGATGGACATGAGCGAATTCAGCTCGCAAATGGAGAAACTCTCTGTTGACGGTGAGCTGGAGGATGACATTGACTTGGATCTGGCGCTGCTTCTGGGCATCAAACACTTGTTGTAATGTATGTTGCGCGTAATCCATTGGTCAGATTAGAGGCATTTCTTACAGTAGTACACTTGAGGCAACTTTTCTCGTATCTCAGTTTTTCAGTTTGGGGTAACTATTTTCGGACAGAGGTAGTATGTAACAAGTTGGGTTGATCACAGCTTCGA